TGGCCGATTACTCCTCCGAGTACTCGCTACTCGGCCCCTTACCGAGGCGAGTTACAGAATCCCGAGTACTACCCGATCGGCCCCTTACTGAACTGAGCAGTGTTGTAAAACTCGGTCAACTCGGTAATTAATATGTATAATATACTTAATAATTTATTATTTAACACACAGACATGTGATTATTACTACATATATATCTTAAATTTTCAGTAATTATTCACGAAGTGAGACCATTATGTGTTTTTTTTTAGTTTTTGTGCATTCACGTGTATCTAATTTTGTTATATATTTCAATCAACTTATGATTTTGACATATTTAATTTCCCTAAAAATATTTCTACATGAATTACCAAATCCGAGTACTCCCCGAGTACTCCCGAGTACTCGCTACTCGGTAGTCGGCCGAACAGATACCGAGTAACGAGTTCTACAACCTTTTATATATATATATATATATATATATATATATATATGGAATTATTGTTATGAATATAAATCATGGAAATGACATTGAAATAACATGACACATGACGATCAAAATGACATTGCTATCTGAAAAAGTAAACATATATAAATACAACACAATATATTATAAATTAAAATGATGAATAAAATGTGATTTAGTATATTAAGTAAAAGATGATAAAAAAATAAAAATATACAAATTATTTATAAACTTTTAAAAACTTTTTAAAACATGTGTAATACACAGTTTCTTTTATAACATTGCTAACTTTGTGTGAATGATCAACACACTTAAACTTATCAACATTCTCAACTATTGTGAGATTTATATTGTATTTATCACTACCTTATTTATGTAATCACTCAAACTTTGGAAACCATTTTTAAAACATTCGTTTGAATCCTAATTCCATGGGAACATAAATAACAGATCATTTGAAAAACATGGGAAAAAATCAAACTTTCATATCAATGCGATGAACATGAATATAAACTACACAAAAAATGTGTAATAACTTAATAAATGTATAATTAAATTCGGTATTAAAATCATGTAATGTAATGTTTCAATCACATGTCACTAATAAATAACTTACCACAATGCGAATGTTAACCGACACATCATAGATCTAGAAATGGAAAAGGAAAAGGAAAAGATGTTAGTATTTTTTCAAGGTCTGATATTGACGATTAGTGGGGAATAGAGGGACTAACGGTGTAATTATTCATTATTTGGAAAATTGCTCGACTGGTGATCGTTGCACTGATGATAACACTGAGTTCGGGTTCGGTAAGCACAATATCAGAAGCACCTCTTGCAGCATCTGTAGCGTCGACAACAGTGATTCCGATGTCCGTCGTCTTCAATGTCAGAAGCACCTCTTGGTTGGTACTGTCGACAAGATGTGCAGCTTTTCCGAAGAAAGTATGAACACGAGTGGCGATAACAACAACTTCCATTTTACATGGTCTCTTATTATTGAGTATTTCACCAAACACATTATGTGTGTCAATCAATTTCAATAACATGATTACATATGGTGTCCTCACTCAGATTATTAACATTAAGAATCATTCTTCCAATTCCAAGAACAGATAACCATAAATTGATATTGATGACGAGTTATTTGAAGAAAGATGTAATAAGTCAATTTCTTCCGACAAATAACCAAAAGATCGATTGAAAAAAGCTCACAAACATACTAAATAAGGAATTGTATTTCCTTTGGCAAACAATATATCATTAGAAAACGAAACCAAAGAGAATACATGTGGAGTTAAGTTGACGTATCTTATATGAAATTGAAGCAAATTGAGAAGGAGAGTGTTAATTGGTATCATAGCGAATAAAACAATAATTTCCGAAAGAGAAGATGGTTATGATCAAACAGAAAAAAAATGGAAACATACCAAATTAACACCAATATTGCTAATTATCATGAGAATCCCGTAATTTGGGAGCTGATTTCATGGACTATAATTAGGAAAGTAGTTGAATAGTAGAGCTCGGAATAAACGGGCAAGTGGTAGATAATAGCCGAATGGCATTTAAGGAAATTCACATTAAAAATTTGAGCGGGATATATATATGTATATAATAAGCTTGGGAGGGGTCGACCAAATGACATTTGGCATTGGGTACTCTTTTATTAGAGAAGAGG